ACCTCCAAGGATGGAGAGTCCACCACCTCTCTAGGTAACTTGATCCAGTGCTCCACCATCCTAGTGAGACAGTTTTTTTCCTAATCCCCAACCTAAATCTCCCTTGCTGCAGCTTGAATAATCTAAATCATTGACTTTTGGCTTCAGCAATTCTTTAGACACTTGTGGTACTTGTGGTCACTTTTAATATCAAGTGGGCCAGAGGAAAGGAAACAAGATTCCTTAATCAGAAGGAGCTGATTTCCAAGAGCAGTCTCGCGGCCTGCTAGGACCTCTCTCTGCATCAGAGAGAGGGTGGGATTCTCCTCTTCAAGTCTTACAAAGAGGCAGTCTCTAACCTTTTCAGGCTGCCGGCTGGAACAGGCCAGCTCAGGTCAGAGGAAGGCTGGTGCTAGGATCTGGCCACCGTTGCGGCATCTTCCCATGGCAGCATGGGGAGAGTGGCTGCTGAACCCAGCCCATTACCAAACGCTGCCAACACCCCACATCCACAAGCTATTTCGCAGGATACCAGTTCCTAAGACTGACTGCTATAAGGTCTGAAGCAGTAAATCCGTGCAACTCACAGTTCCTCCCATCAGTTCGGAGGCTCTTTTGCTGTCCTTTCTGCTAAGAATTTTTCAGTGAATGTTACCAGTCAATCAGTAATTGATTTTTCCAACACAAATGCTTTCTTTTCAGCACAGAACGCTGCTTAATCACCATGATGCCTGAAATAACTTATGTAAATGTAGACGCCAGGAACAAATAATGAGATATAATCTTATTGCAGTCTGGAGTTGCTTTAAAAAGCATCATTGTTTGTTACTATTGGAAAAGGGAGGGGTGAAGGGATACATAATTTTGTGGATTTCAGCATTACTGTAAAATTCCATTCTTTTAGAGTGAAGTTACTCTGCTGCAAAGCAGCTGTTACATCTTTTTACCTACTGTGAAGCTGAGGCTAATTTTGGAACCAGTAGTGGTTTTGCAAGGAGATGGGTGTGCCTCATGCTATTATTGTGTTTTAAGCTCTTATTATGGATCTGAAAACAAGGCCTACTGGGAGACGTGATTTCTTGTTTGCGCAGTTTGCAGTGTAGTGCTGCTGTCAATGATCTATCAAGTGATCTTAAAAACAAACAGACAAAAAAAAACCCAACCTGGTGGTTTTGCTAACATCCGAAGCGCTTCCACCAAATATTGATGCTTTACTTTTTCCCTCTGGATCTCGCTGTAGCTTGTCCAATCCTGTTTCAGTAATTTTACTGACACTGAATTTTTTATCACCCCATCTTTGTTTCTCTTGTGTTTAAATTATTTAATGTTTTGAAGATTGTTTCTCAATGAGGTGTCATGTTTTGCAGCTTATAATCTTTGTCCCTTCTTGCAGTCTGCGATCATTAACAGGATTCAGTGTAGGATTGTGGCTTTAGATCTCAGAGGTCATGGTAAGTTAGTTCAATCTAAAACTCAAATTTGTGTTCCAGTATATTTGTATTTATTTTGTTTTTATATTTGCATTTACATTAAAACAGATTAATTTCCTCTCCCCCATCTCTGACAAATTAATGGTTGCTTGAAAAGTCATCGTGAAAACATGGCTAGGGCAGATGGGGGGCTGGGGAACTAACTGGACCCCAAAAACAGGTTCAGTAAGAAGCCTAGTAGCTGATCTCATGCCTCACGGAGACATGGAGATGCCATGGCCCTGCATGCAGTGCTCTTGTCTGATTCTTTGTGCACACTGTGATCGTCAGGGTCTGATATTTTCTGGTGGGGTGGGGGATGTTTGTGAACAATTCACAGCATATGGAACTAGAGTGTTTCCACAGTCAAAGTAAGTTGCTAATAAATGGCCTTCACATGGGTTAAAGTTGCTATTTCCCTAACTTAAAGTATTAGGGTTCATGAAACTATCCATGTTGACTCTGAAGAGGTAATATAAAATGCTATTAGTTTACCTGGCTAGTATATACAGAAAAGCTTTAAACTTTACCCTGCTGTTTCAGTAAGTTCTGAGGAGTCTGAAGGTTGGTTGTTTGGTTTGTAAATCACGTCTCTTTTATCTTTTGTTGGATTTTTTTGCAGGTGAAACCAAAGTCCGGAATCCTGAAGACCTGTCTGCAGAAACAATGGCGAAGTATGGAAAGTCGCATATTTATTTTAGCCTTTTGCTTATTGGCTTCTCCCAAATCTTTGCTTTCCTCTTTTTTTGCTCTGTCTCATTTAGTTTTTATCCACCTTTGATTTCTCTTTTATGAAGAGATGTTTTGCTGCAGTCACATAAGGAAGCCCTAGAATTTAAATGAAGTTTTGCATTGCATTCGAATGTACCCCTCTTTTAGATGTTTCTACCTCTTCTGTTTTGGAAGGTTTAAGTAAAAACAGTTTGGCCAGAAATTGTATTCCTAACTCCAGCAGCTGACAATGGATACTTCAGATTTGATGCGTTTTATAGATCTTGCTGCTCTGAAAAGTCCTTGGGTGGCTTAAAAGTTATTAATGTTTAAAATTTGCAGTGTAGTAGGCTTATATTAGCGGTTTTCTAATTAGAGTTTACAGGCTGATTACAGTTAAAGCTAATCAGCAATTTGGTATTGTTGTTTACTCATTAACATTTTTTCCATCTCTTTCCATTAGAAACGCACAAAATGCTGAGTTATATCAGCGCAGGATCTTGCTTTTATATTGCCCTACTTCATATACTGTCTGGGTGTACTGTGCATAACTTAAACTAAAGAGAAAAATACTTGTCACTTTGAATAATGCTTTTTGATTCATTGTAATGTGGGTTGGTTTTCTTTCCCTTGGGTGAAGGCTGAGTGTGACTCATGGCCTATCCAGAACCATTGCATCAAGGAAATGTATAATGCAGAAAATGATACTTACAGGCACAGAGAAAGCTGATTAATCAAACTGTAGTGACTTGCTTTTGAATGAAAACCCATCTTTGGATAAGGTATAAGAAAAGCAATTTCCTACCCCTTAAAGTACTATATTATATCCACATTTAGTAGGGAGAGATTCTTCTAACTACTGCTGAAGGACATTGTAACCCTCTCTGTCTCTCACGGCTTGTTCCAAGGAGGCCATCTGTGAAATACATGTTGACTTATTGTGCACCTTATTGCTGCTGCTTATAACTCATCAGCTCCTGAGGTGTGTGCTAGTGTCCTGAGGAGATGCCATATGTAGTGATCATTTTTCAGATCTGGAGCAGCGCTTGCATAGAAACAAATAGGCTTCCTTTAGTTTTAAACGTGCCTCGCCTCCTAGAAATGGATTTGAAAGCTATCTGCATTCACCTTTTAAATTTCAGTGCTAACTTTTCAGTTTCATAATCCTTAAGTAACATTTTTTGTTCTTACCTTAAATCAGCATCAGTGGTAGGCATGGAGAGAAGACTAATAAATCAGTCTTGCTTGTTGGTATTGTATGCATTAGATGCAACTGGACTTCGAGATCCTTTGGCAAATACTTTCAGCCAAGATGGCCACTTTTCACTGCTTTTATTTGAATTGTAGTGTCCAAGAAATTCTTTGCTGTTTTTGTGAACAATAATTTATTATTGATTGAATAATAAATAATAATATTATAATATACAATAATATTATTGTATTGCACTTGCAGGGTCTTGGATCACTACAATGACAAGTACAGTGTAAGAATGTTGATAAAGGGCCTTTGCAGATGCCACATTTATAGCACTATTAATGTGTTAATTAAGCCATGCATTGCAACAGGACATGCATTCAGGGAATTTGTGAGACCAATAAAATCACAAACCACCCACATTTCAAGAAGGATGTAGACAGTTTGGAAAGAGTCCAGCACAGAGCAATACAAATGTTTTAGGGGCTTGGAAGGCAAGACTTATGAAGAAAGTTTGAAAGAACTTGGGTTACTTAGTTTGTAGAGGAGAAGACTGAGAAGGAATTTGATCACAGTTTTCAAATACCTGAAGGGTGATGACAGAGAGATTGGGGATTGGTTTTTCTCTGTAGCATAAGGGACAGGACTAGGAAGTAGTGGTCTCCAGATGCAGCAGGGGAAATGAAGGTTGGAAATTAGGAGGAACTTTCTGACTTTGAGGGTAGTGAAGTATTGGAACAGGTTGACTAGAGGAGTGGTGGAATCTCCATCCTTGGAAACTTTCAAGACCAAGTTGGACAAACACTTGCCTGGGGTAGTTTAGTCAAAGAAGGCTGATCCTGCCTTGAGCAGGGGGCTGGGCTAGATGACCTGGTGAGGTATCTTTCAGCCCTACTTTCCTATGACCCCAAGATGTTCCACATTAAAATGTAGAACATCTTTGTGGGTGGCTTGTATGGTGCTTTTAATTGAATACATGGCACGTGTCCTAGATGTGGGCTACCTTAGCTAATGCTGACAATCAACTGATTGTTCATGCTGGGTCAGGACAACCTCAGGTCTAGAACCGGACCTAGGGCTGTTCAATGTTGATGCTGACAATCAGCCAGCTGTCAGCTTCAGGCCAAGACAGCCCTGGGTCCTGGGACTGTTGCCAGCCTGATCTCTGGGGAGTGGGTGCCCTGTGCCTGATCTTGCTGCCCAGCTGAGCTTCAGGATTGGGCACGAGCTAGCCCCAGGGTCTGGATCACAGTTGCCCCTGGCCTGATCCATGGGATCAGGCCAGAGGCAGCCCCAGGTCCCAGTCTTACCCTGGTAGTCACACCATTGGGATCTAAAGTATTTTATGCCCCATTCCAAACATTTGCACGTCTTGCCATACATATGTGGCATGTCAGGACATGCCGTTTTAGGGATGGGGCATGAAAGTATTCTGATCCCAATTGCATCATTATGTTAATGTCTGCCAGGGGCCTATGACAATGTACTAGGTATTTTCTGGGAGTGGGATAAAGCCAGCGTGCCTGTCTTAAACAGCCTACACTCCAGAAAGAAATAATTTTTTGCCTCTCTCCTGCATTCCCAATCTGTCGGCCTTGCGGTCAGGGTTAGATTGTCTCATCGATCGAGGTTCTGAGCAGAGTGCCCTCTTTCTGACCCTGATTTATTCTTTTATGCAGGAAAATGCATCATGTTTCCCTTGCTAGGTCCTTTTGTGTTTCAAACCCTTGGAACTGAATGGTTTAGTCTACTGTCACCTGTCGGGGCATTTACGCAGGCCCTTGGTTATTAAGGAAAGCAGTGAGTTCACTCTTAAGCTTGTGCTTGAGTGGTTGCCCCCCCTCCCATACTGTGTCTGAATCGAAGTGTGCACGATAAGATAGCAGACTTCTGTGTCATTTAGCGTTGGATTAGACGATCAAACCAAAAAGTAAAAGAGTACCATACAAAGAATATCACTGAGGGGGGAAAAAAAACTAGATTATGAAAACAGGGTTCAGAGTAAGGGTTTTTAGGTGGAATTTTTCCGTTCCATTCCCATACTTCTACAAATCTGCCTCACAAATGTATCAGAGAGAAAAAAAGCAATGTTCTTGTTCCTCTTATTTTTCTAGAGATATTGGAAATGTGGTGGAAGCTATGTATGGAGATCTGCCTCCTCCAATCATGCTAATTGGGCACAGCATGGGTGGAGCCATTGCTGTACACACGGCAGCATCCAATTTGGTGCCAAGTTTATTGGGCCTTTGCATGATTGACGTAGTGGAAGGTAAGTCTGCGTACCCTTAGGCAGTGTCTTCTGCAGTGGTCTGTCTTCTTTCCTTAACTGCATCAGTGAGTGTAAAAAACCTTGTCTTGCTAAGCATATGAAGGGTTTTTCTTCTCTCCAGTGGCTATCCATTTTCAGTTTTAAATAATCACTTTAGCTTAGTCCTGTCTTTTAGTTTTTAAAGGTGGATTTTTTTCCATTTGATTTTATTTGTTGTGATTGCATTGCAACATCCATTCTTGCAGCTGGATCATGGGTAGGTAGAAATCAGAATACCCTGTCATTGCATTATCATTACTGTTCCAGGCCTGGGATATTAGACCCAGTCAAGTATGACATGTTAACCTCCTAATGGCAGCAACCAAAGACATGAACCCTGATGCTTTTAAAGCTAACAGAGATTCTGCTTCTAGAGTTATTATGTATGTGGCCTATTAAGAATGGGGATGAGGGAAACCAACTAAAAAGTTTCCTGAACTGGAAACCAGATACGTGAAAGATGGCTTTAGAGCAGTTGTGCATAGCCTGGAAATGCAAGATGAACGCTCTTAAGTTATCATAAATCCTAACATTTGCCAGAGCACTCTCCTACCCACAATTGACTCTGTGTCATAAAGGGGCTTTTGAGAACGTTTTGAAAGGATGTTCTCAAACAGTCTGTTTACTTGAAATCAAGATGTACTTGTTTTTAGGCACAGCCATGGACGCGCTGAACAGCATGCAGAATTTCTTGAGGAGTCGTCCCAAAACATTCAAGTCGCTTGAGAATGCAATTGAATGGAGGTAGTGTGCCTGGTTGTGTTCAGACCTCCTCTTTATTGTGCTGTCAGTTCTGCAGCTGCTCTTGAAGGGAAGGGGGTGGTCTTCTGAGTGGGAAGGCATTGGACTGGAGCTTAGGAGACCTGGGTTTTCTGCCCGACTACCAGCACAGTACGCCCCTCTGTAAAGCGGGTATAATAATATTTCCCTACCTTCTGAGACAGTGTGTGAAGGTGAATTAATTTATGTTTGTAAGGTGCTTCTATCACAGTGATATGTGAATTGTAAAAGCAGATAGCTGATTTTATGCCTTAAATCTAGCCCCATGGACAAAATTTAAAAGGATTGCTGGTAGGATGACCTGGAGAAATTATCTGGGCTGTTTCTTGTATTACTGGGTGTGGTGATAGATGGATGCCACAATAATGTTACATCACATTTATCCCCTGATGCATGGTAACTTTTCTCACTTCTTTTTCTTAGTGTGAAAAGTGGACAGATCAGAAATCTCGAATCTGCCAGAGTTTCTATGGTTGGCCAAGTCAAGCAGTAGGTTCTGTCTTAAGAAAATTTGAAGGATTGTTTTTCCTTTTTTTATGATCTCAACTTTATAACAGGCTATACATATGCTGAAAAATGACTTATCTTTATTTTAGTAAATGCCAGCTTCTCCTTTTGACACAGCAGGCTCTAGTTAGTAGTGATAGGAACACTAAACAATTCACAGCCACCAAAGATCCCATGACAGTTCAGTAAAGTTCTAGCCAGAATTCCATTCTGATAAAATGTTATTACCCACTGAGGATATTTAAAAAATTATTCTAGCCATTGTTTGTGCTTGTGGCACATTTGCATTTGGCATGTTATAAGGGCAAAGCAGTTTACTCATGCAAAGCTATGTTTAAACGAACACTGTTATTTGGACACCCCTTCAGAAATTTGACCTCTGAATTCTTTCTGCCAATTCAACTAAGTGTAGCCTTTTTACTTCCCATTTTACTGCTGGTCTGTACTGTGAAATGCTTGTCTGTTGCTTTCTGAATATGGTTTGATTTTTTTTTTTTTTTTTTTTTTT